GAATACAATTTAGTGAGAGAAACGAGGAATAACTAAAAGAAAGACTTGCTCCTTGAATTGATTTTTAGTGAGAAAAAGCACCATATAGTTCATAAGAAATTTCAAAACAACTTTTAAATACAAATGTCATTTATATTTTACACTAAACTACAGTCACAGCACTTTTGTAAAACTTCTTCAAAGGCTCACACGGGGTGGGGGGCACAAATTCCAATTCCTGAAGACCATTTGAACAAAACACGATCTGGAAAACTGAAGTGCTGTAGGGTATAAGATTCAGTCATGCTGCATGACAAAAGAGGGGAAGAACATATGAGGCACAGGCACTAGAGGTCATAATCCCTTCGTATGGAATTAGCTGAAGCATTGAAGAGCCATTTGCTATATGCCTTCCATTCTTGTCACCCTCTCTCCCACCTAACCCAAAACTCAGAGAGGTCTGCAGACAGGTCCCTTCACCACCACTGCACCCTAAGGAAGCTTTATGGAACCCTGAAAACTGCAGCAGCAGCTTGGGCTAAAACCCCTCATTGCACCACAAGTTACCTGCTGTCTGCCATACGGTCTGATCACATACTACCCAACCCTCTCCAACCCCTTAGCCAGGTAGGGCCAAGTCAGCAAAGCAGAAAGTTGCAAAAGGAGGCTCAGCAGGAGATACCAATTGCTGCTAACAGCTTTAAATGGTTTAACGTGTACCTGGTGCCAGAAATAAGGCACTAACTGAAGATGCAGCCATCAGCTATCAAGATACCAGACATTCTGGACTTGGAGAGAAGAGGTAAACATTACTCTTCCATCCTAACTCTATCCAGGATGGAGGAAGCATGGCTCAAAAAGGACTATGATTTGGACAATCAATACATTTCCATTTGCTAGAGTGTAGAAAGCCATGAGCTAATGAATTTTGCACTGCTGACAAACCTTGTCCAATTAGCCCGCAATGTTTGGGAAGCAGCATATAACCCAACGCTCAGGAAACCCTGCAAAACTGAACAAAAAGGCCAATAAATCACAGAGTTTCTGCTTTTTTGTGTAGAAAAGTATCCCTGGAAAAACCAAGGTATTTTTTCCCCATCACATTTACTTAACTTTTTCACCTCTTACACTTGCCTTGGAGACTTTCAGTTCTACCCCTGAGCAGAAACACAATACCTCAACACAAGAACGGGCCGGTGCTGATGAAGGCCGCTGTATCGCTATATAAACACTCATATCAACTGCTATATCAACGTGCACATCCCTTGTTTAGCAACACACTCATGCCCACTCCCACTACCAGCACCAACTCTTGGGCTGCTTTAGGCTATTTTTTATTGAACGGCACCAAGCTGACCTAAGGTCCCACAGACCCGCACAACTGCTCACACCAGTGATGCCACACTCCAAATACCTAGAAACTCTCCAAGCCTGCAATGGCCCCTGGGCAGCCACTTACTCCTAAAGGGACTTTCAACAGAGGCGAGATCAACAAACATATCCCATAATCCTAGAGCAGAGTAAATGGCCCATGGAGCGTGGGATCTGTGATAGCGAAATTACAGACTGTAACAGAGCAGAATTTCCTGCATCCGTTGACTTGAATCCTTCTCTTTATAGCGAGTTTCTCAATAACTGGGTTATTTTTCTGCTTGGGAGATGAGCAGAATTCAATCTTTATCAGTTTGATGAGTAAGATTTTATTTATTCATCCTCCTGCCTATACTTCATTACTTCTCATAGTCCACAGCATTTCCCCTAAAGGGATGGAAAGGATTCCCCTTGGTGGTAACTGAAATCTCTTTGCTCTTCAGTCTCAGCACTCTTCTCATTTACTTCTTACACGTCTATCTGAAAAATCCCTTGGAAAAATAGTTCAAAGATGTTTATCTAAACCTGTTGAGACCTTCAACTAACAACTTCATGGCAATAACTACCCACTCGTTTCACAGGTTACACATTCAAATGCCAGTTTTGTTAATTATTTCAGAGCTCACCTGTAGGAGGAGAGTGGAGGTATGATGCTGTGAAATCAGCACTGAACATGTAGAGTTTGGGTTGGACTTTTCACACCACTATCCAGCAGAGTAGTTAAATACAGATTGCTTCATTTTAATAAGACAAATCAGTTTTCAACAGTACAGAAAATACTCCTACATTGCTTTGTATTTTCCTGTCTCTCAGTTACGCTATGCATGAGATGATGTTCAGGAAAGCATTAGTGAAACCAGTTATGCCCACTAAAACACAAAATTGCCTAGAACAGAAAAATTCTTAAATAGTTGCTGTCTACTCAGCTAGCAAGCATCATCCCCACGTAACGGACAGGTGAAGTAAGTAATCGGGTAAATTTGTCCGCTAGCACTGTGTGAGGGGACAGAACACAAGTCCCCCTTGCCCTCTGCACTGCTCATTGGTACCTATCTGCTGGGCAGAAAACACTTGCCAGAGCCAGTTCACGACCTCCTAGCAGCGTGCTGAATTGGCAGTGCTGTCAGAGAGGCAGTGCAGGAGCCCAGAGACCCACGAGCCTCCGAGGACCCATGGCGGGGATTCTCCAGCTGCTCTTCCCAGGTCCCTGCCCACGGTAGCGTGGCCAGACAGTGACCTGATGCTGCTGGCAGCCCACCCGGGCTTACGCTGCTTGACACTGCCGAGAGAATTACAGAGTGCTGCGGAGAAAAGGGAGGAAGGCTCGAGAAGCAGCTTTTAATTTTCCACAACTTTCGCTGCACTTCTTCCTCTTAGCGCAAGCCTTCCACATGGTCTCACTTCTGTTTCCCCACATGACTAACAGATTGGATGCATTGAAGGGACAAAAAGCAATCACACGGGGATCTCCCAAACCGCCCAATCTCCCCTACACTGTTCTTTCTCAATGCAGCTTTTATTCTGTTTTCTTCCTATCTACAATGAAGATGCTGAAATAACTAAAGCAATGATTCTTTTACTTTGGATAAGCTTGTTAAGAGTGCTTTATGCTGAAAACCATGACAAATGTACTCTTTTATTATTTACACAAATGACTTTTAGAGCATTTTCCTGATGGACTGTTATTGTTACTTGATAATAGTAATCTGAAATGAACATAGCATGAAAATCTTGAGAAGAAAAGAAAAATTTTGTAACTAAATAATTGAGAGAATACTCTTATAGCACTTGGCATGACAGCATGATTCAGACAGACGACAGCAATATACTGAAGTAATAATGTCACTGTTAGCTCTTTCAAAACAGAAACAGCAGAAAATCCAACCATCTCAAGAATAAAATCGGTGTAATCACTTTCTGAATACTTATCTGTTGGAACCATAACAAACATGATAAAACAAACCTCTACACATAATTGATAGATCTTTCAGAAGAGAGAACATCATCTTGTCTGTTAGTACAGCCTGAGGGGGAAGGCGGTGGGGGTGTTAGCTCTTTCAAAACAGAAACAGCAGAAAATCCAACCATCTCAAGAATAAAATCGGTGTAATCACTTTCTGAATACTTATCTGTTGGAACCATAACAAACATGATAAAACAAACCTCTACACATAATTGATAGATCTTTCAGAAGAGAGAACATCATCTTGTCTGTTAGTACAGCCTGAGGGGGAAGGCGGTGGGGGGGACAACATTCATCATTCTTTGGAATAAGTGTTTTCTCTACTTCATCTCCAAAAAAATTAAACAAAAGCAGCTAGCTTAATTATGGGAATAATCTAGAGGGAGCACAAACACTGTTAGAATTTTTGGTCCATGACACAAGCCTGAATAAAATACTAACAAAACAAAAAAATCCATTACCTTGGCTCAGAATATTTTGTTTCAGTGTAAAAAACGATCTTTTAGAAGCATGAAGAACACAAAGCCGTTCCCTTCCCTCTACCCCTCAATGAACAGATGTGAAAACCCGGTTGCTTCATTCAGATTAAAATGTCCTAATACAAATATACATCTTATCCTATCCTAAAGCACGGGTGGTGTAAACGCAGATTTTGTAAATCACATTACTTCAAGTTTGATAGTGAAACTTCTGTTTGTTGATTTAATAATTTTTATTAATAAACTCACATAATGAAAATACAGTCAATTACAGATTGTTAATTTAAAAATGTTTAGATTTCAAGTACTCCACCATATATGGCTCTTTCAAGATCCATTTCTGGAAAAAATTACTACGGTTTTGAATTGTCCATTTGAGACCATGTGCATTAAAAGCAACTTGGAAGTAAAATACTTTTATACTTAACTCTGAGACTCAGCAGTGAAAAGCTGGTACAACAAAACATGAGTAGTTATTCCTTCCCCAACTGAAAATACTTGAAACAACATTCTTAGCTGTACTTTCAAGGTACTTAAAAACAAACCAAAAAAAGCTCTGCAAGACACCATTCATTAGGTATTTCAATCAACTGACTTTGGCGTTGCTGTAGCACTGTGATATACTATATATACGTATATTAATGTTTAATAAAGTTTTAAAAAAGTGAAGCTGCTACTGGAAAAGATGATACTAATTCAGACGCAGAATGTTAACAGTCCTCTACTACTGAGGCAGAATCACATTGTATTTCATGACACAGTGCTTAAATACAAGGACTTTAAAGAACATCTGATGAGAGCTGAAGAAAAGCCATCCAATCTAAAGAAGCTGAGATTTCAAATTAAAAATACAAGCAGCACAAAGGCCACCAAACACCCACTTCCACATTTCACCATGTGATTACAGTTCAGTCATGCAAGTCAGAACATGCATGTTAAAATTCTCAAACTTCACAAACCCAGCTGTCATTCCCAATTTCTGCTGGCTTAGTCTGCCATCAAGTAGCCTAGGAAATGACACAAGCTCATCAGAGCTCAGCTTCCTTAATTCATTTAAGATTACGCTTGCTGGCTGACTGCAATAGAAATGTGTATCAAAAGATCCCTGCAGTCTTTCCAGAGCCGATATCAGCTGTCAAAATCTACTTCAAATAAAGTTGCATTTGAAAACGAACCAAACCGCAGCAAAAGAGTGTAGGAAACTTTACCTTAATTGGAGCACGGCTAAACTGTATTTTTCTGTTGGCTGGGATTTCATCTTCATCTGGCAATCCATTAATTTCAGAATATTCCATATCAGGTTCATAACAGTTATTTTCATCACTGTCATCCTGATCATCCTGTTCTGTACCTGTCTCTCCCCAGTCAGAATTATATCTCGATCGTACCCGATACACATTGTAGTCAGAGTGCATGTACACGTGGGAACTCTGAAAATTATTCACATCTTCTTGCACTTCTTTTTCACTTGCTTCATCATAATGGGACTCAGTAGCGTCTGAAACAGCATCTGTGGCAAAATCACCACCTGAAGCTACGTTTCTTGGTACTTCTGCAGCTTCGGGTCTATCAAAGACACCCTCTGCATGCTCTGACCATTCCTTTTGTTGCAACAAAACTTCTGTCTCTGTTTTTGACTTACTCCTACCACAGCTGTCCACAGATCTTTCACTGTCAAGCACGTTGACCAAATCCTGTTGACTCACTGCAGAGCTCTCAACAGAATCAGCACTTGCCTCTGTACTCTTCTTTATTTCTTCAGTTGTTTTTGAACCTGCCAAAGTGCCTGTGGATGTCTTCTGTCTCAGTGCTGAAGGCGTGCTATTCTGCTGAGAGTTCTCGGCAGACATCAAGCCTGTACTCTGTTTGGCTGGCGGAGACCACGTGCTGGTATCTTTCAGAGGACTGAAACCCTCAAGGTTTGCAACTGGGGAGGAGATATTTGCGACAGTAGACGAGAGGTTTAGCGGATAGTGACCAGTTACAGAGTACTCTTCATTGTTCTCTGACTTTTCTACAATGATTACGTTGTGTGAGTCAGTGTTCTCAAAAACTGCGCTGAGCTGACTCACAGTTGGAGAGACGGTCTCTGTCCTTGGGCTAAGACTGTCCAGTGAATCAGTGCTGCCTCTGTGAGACTTAGAGCTGCACCATTCATCCGGAAGCTCATTGGAAACGACTTTCTCTTTCTTTGGGGAATAGCGATTGGAATGTCCTGTTTCATGAGCATTTCGCTCAAACATCTTCCGAGTTTCAGTAAACTTGGAATAGGAAGGACCATCATGGATAGTATCAAATCTACTAATCCTTTCTGAGACGGATGATTCCAATTTTACAATTGAACCATCCGCTTTTTCTACAAATTCTTTGGGCCTAATTCGTCTTTGAGGTGACGGAGGGCCACCCTTCCCCCTGGTTTTAGGGGTAACTCCAGCACTTTCACTGGGCTCCATGCCCATTTGCATAAATAAGTTCTTAATTCTATTGACATTTGAGCCATATTTCCTTCCCCTGCTCTGCGAGGCCTCTCCTTCCTCTTTCGTTTTTTGGTCTCCATCCGATTTCGGTTTGTCAAAGGTGCTTTTCAGCGCCTGAAACTCAGTTCTGTAAGCATTCCTGTGAGGAGAGGCACTTCGGAGGGTTGACCTTTCTCCTGAAGACTCTGTTTTCATCATGTTTACTCCAGGAGGGCAAAACCAGCTTACATAGTTTCTGCGGTACCGCTTTCAGTATTCTGTCACAGCTGAGATTCTGCTTGAGTGTTTTTCTCAGGGGGCACTGCCCTTCAGCAGGGCCATACTCGACAGAAGATCTGGAGGCAAATATCTAAACACATGCGGTCAATTCTGACAAAGCAGCACAACCGAGGACTCTCAAGAACAATGGCTGATTTAACCTGCAATAGAAAGGAGGGTTTTCTGAATCATGTCAGGTACTTGTACTTCTTTAAATCTAAGCCACAATTTCCATTTACCGTTATTTGACGTGTTTACAACAAAATAGTAAAAAAAAAAAACACCTAGCACTGCACAGACACATGAAAACTTGTCATGAGAAACTTTTTCAAATTGATTGTTGCGTAATTTGCAATCTATAGTATCATTCCACAGTGAAAGAACAGATTATTGCATCTTACCATTCACAAAGTATCGTATCATGCCACAAACATGCATGCAAAAGAAAGGCAATGTGACAGGAAAAATAACACTACTTCTGTGTTATGGAACTTTTCTAAAAAAATATAATAAAAAAAATAAATCCCCAAATCAAGCCTCCGAGTTACTTACATCTAACTATAAAGTAATTCATGCAAACATGATGGTTCTGGTTCCCTGAGGCATTGCAAGACAACCCTTGCTCTCTCAGAGAAACACAACGGTAGAAATTCCATCAAACATAATACACTTAGAAAGGCAAAATTAAACAGCAGCTCGAGGGAATAAGAAAAACTGCGCCCAAAGTTAACATCCTCAGTTGACATGGTAAAGAAAGTGAAATCCAGTTAGAGAAAGTTGCCCCTTGCCACGGGCAGCGGTTTTAGCACCTGGAAGAGCCTGGAAGTGCCTAAGGAGGAGCTGCACAAACGGAGCCAGGGGCTGGATCCGCTCCCACCCCCCGGCCCGGGGGGCTCGCAGGGGCCGCTGTGCCGGAGCGGCGGAGCTCCCCGGCCTCGGCGG